CAGCTGGGAGCTCCCTCGTGGTTTAGCGTGCGGTGCACCGCGCAAATATTTTATTAGCCAGGGCCACAGCCAGGAGCACTGTCCGCTTGGGCTTGATGACATACATACAGATCTGATGGGATAAGGACCCCAAGAAAAGGACCCCAAGAATAAAGGACCCCGATGATAAGGACCCCCGATGATAAGTGGTCTACCCCGCTTACTCGCTAGTGGGAACATATATGGTACCGCCGCAAAGGCAATTCTGACGCCTCCCAGGCGTGCTCAAACGCGGCCCCAGTCCCAAATTCCGGGACAGGATACCTGTCAGTCACCACCTCCGAGTAGAAAGCCAGAGTCGCACGCCGACCGGGGTCGCGGAAGTCGGGTATCATCTTCGTGTCTCACCCCCCTTGTACTCACCTCGGATAGCAACCTCGGATGTCCTGTTCGAGGTCGAAAACATGACTAGCCGCGCGTGCATAGAAACGTGGCGCGGCAGCCCCCCTGGCAACAACATCCAGAAACGCGGTCCGCACCGACACCACCGCCCAAGTCCCATCCCCAGAACATCTCCAGCGGTGCCGATCTCGGTCAGTCGGAACGCCAACTCTGCATCAGCCGCTGCCGTTGGAGATTGGATCCATCTCATACCACCATGAAAGGCGTCTGAAGGCTGGGAAAAAGGCTGCGGGCGCTGCGCCGATCTCGCTACCGCTGTCCGAATCCAACGCCGCATGCTGTCGCGGCAAGAAGCGCAGCTTGGCCCTTCGTAAGCTTTTTGTTATTTCAAATCGTGGTCACAAGCCCTAAGTCCCTACAACGGCCACAAAGCAAACTGCCCAAGTGCAGCACGAGTGCAGCATGGGTGACTCCTAGATCAGCCCAGCCACCACGGCTCAAGTAGCAGGAGCGGTCCCCGGACGCCGGTTCCTGGCGGACTGAGCGTCACGATTAAGCTGGGAGGGCCCTAGGAGCCCCTGGCGCGTCCAACTCGCGCGAACGCGCGTGTTCGCGCGTCGTGGTGGGCGTCTGGGAGCCGTCGGTTTCGCGGGCCGCGAACGCCTCTCGGGTCGAAACGTTGGTTCTTGGCAGTTCCAGATGCCTGGAACGCGTTCCGGGCGTCCTAGCCGATGGAAGAAGAGGTGAGAGCCGCACCGCTGCCGGTCGACCGCGTTCCTCGTCGCTGCCTTGACGTCGGCTCGCTCGTTCTCGATTACGACGTTGTGGTTCGACCGAGTGAAACCCGTCGCGCAAGGCCGAGTCGGCGACACCGACGCTTTCCGAGGCGTTGACGGAGGGTCTCGGCTGGATCTGCGCGCAAACCGTGAGTTCCGGTCGCGTCTGCCGGCATAGGGCGGTGCACTCGTCGACTCAGCGCGCGAGAGCCCTGATTTCGCAGATAGCCGCGCTCCTCGATTCTCGCGGCGACGTCAATCAGCTCAGAGACGCGACAGAAACAGCCACGGACAGACTGGTGCACCTGCAGAGGCGCCGCACGTCATGCACGCCGGCGCCGCGGCTGGGCCCGGAGAGCGTCTCGGTGCAAGGCCGTGCTTGCCGCGCCTCAAATCGACCCCGCGAATTCGAACCCCCCGATAAGCGCCTCAAATCGACCTGGCTGCCAAAATCGATCTCGGTGGGGTCAAGGGTAGGTTCGCGGGCCGCTCTCGACAGAATCCACGCTCGCCACAATTAAGTTGAGTGCTCCGGTGGAAAAACCTACCCTCCAAACAGCTGAGATGGGCTTCCGGCAGCCATAGAGGCGTCACCCACGCACGTAGACCGCGCGCGTTTGGCGCACGTGCGCGGCGCGCGACAGCGCTCGACGCCGTCCGCCCGGCCTCGACGGGTCACCCATGGACCCAGGCGGACCCGGAGACACGAAGGCGCGCGCGGCGGGAGGCTTAACGGGCCGCGCGACCCCGTGGAGGAGACCCCGTAGGGCCTGATCTAGGAGGCACCCCACTTAGTTGCCCATGGGGCTACTAGCAACTTCCGCTTTTGGCTTAAACCCCAGGCGAGTGGCACAGCCATCACCGGGGCGGGGCGACTCTCGCATTGGCGTCAACAACGACTCTGCACGGCCCTAGCTACCGCCATCACGTATGACACTGTGGCATTGCAAGGCTGGAAGTTTTCCTGTAGGGCAATGACAAGCATGCGAGGTACTTCGAGACCAACTAATGGCACAATTAATCTTCTTGGGTGCTCACCTATTAAATTAACTTTCAAGAAATTTGAATGAAGAGCTAAATCTAGTATTTTCCCCATGACTAGTTGGTCGACGACTACTGTTCCATTGGTATCATATGTCCGCGTCATTCGAGTGGAATCTTCTCTTTTCTTGACTGATGCGGAACAACTGTGGAAATCTCCCGAAGGGGTGAGTCGAGCGACAATATGCATCTCTCGTTCGCTATCCATCTCCCATAGTTCACATGCCGCAACGAACAAAATGTTGCGGTTGATAGAACACAAACTTATGCGGTAAATTTCTTCAAGGCTAATTTTTTGTGCATTGAGCTTTGCAAGAGCGTCGGTCTTTCTTCTCAAATCAATTGCCCGCCCAATGCTTGAGCCGACACTCTCAAGGAAATGTAGCACGCCATCTTCTGGTGTTCCTAAACTCTTATCTGCCTTGCTTACGTAGCCAAACGTGTCAACA